ACATTATTCTTTACTTCTTCTCGACAAGAGTAGGCTACTACTGGTCGATTACTGAATCTAATAATTATCATCTTTTTGTTTTGATGAAACTGAAACATTGATATTATCCAACCTGTGTATCAAGTACAGTATTAACAATATGCAATATTAGTGCGAGGGGCTTTCTTGCCAAACCCTCATTTTAGTGAAACAAGTGTGTACAAAAACGTGTTTCCAGTTACGATAACGATTCTTCTTGGGCCATAATTCTGTAATGACGGTTACAGGGTTATCAGTTCTCACAAACAAACATTATTTTCCTGCTCACATTGTGTTTTCATGTTAGGTTAAACAAGCGGTGCTCCATTTAACTCAATAGAGATAAAACAGCAACGATAAAGTTTGCAGAAATCCTAATTACCACTAAGGGAACCTCTTTGCAATTAGCAACAACAACAATAAATAGCCTCTGATAGCCTAACCTTTTAGACGTATTCTTTCTATCTGCAAAAAGAGAAAAACACATTTTTTCATTCCCTTAAACTTATGAAATATTTCCTCTAAAGCAACAGACACTGTCAGACGTATTGATATGCAGGCTAACAAAGCTGTCGTAATTTGAGGTTGGTTGAAAAAGGTCACGATCCCTTAGAAACTGCTACATCGAATAATTGTTGGCACAAGAAATGATGAGAATGGAAAGGTTAATTGGGAAGGAAAAGAAAACCAACACAACAATGATGACGGAAGCAGAAAAGCTGCTCTGGTGTTCCAAACCAATCACGAACGACTTTACAGTAATCCGAATAAAAATACAAGTAAATATTCCGTGGATTTTTAAAACAAATTCTCTCATTTCAATACGATACCCGTTGTGGAGGTGTTACTTTGAAAGTTTGGTAGTTTGTTCTTGCTTCTTTTCTGAGTTTTTTGTGGCCTTTTTTTCGGGGGGGGGGTTTGATTGTTAATAAATATTTCAAGGGGTGTCTAAAACATCTGCATAACGGGAGCAGGGGAGAAGTGTCATCTCTGACTCACAGCTTGACGTGTATTGACCTTCCATCCGACACGGTCGCGATGTTCCGAATTACACATTCAGCTATACCCAGGCCATTTCATGTCTTAATGCTGTCCACCCATGTTACTGTTTGTCTACCCCTGCTTCTCCGGTCCCACATCCTTCCTTGAAGCCCCTTTTTCCCAAAGATCTGGTTTCGTTTTAAGTGACCAACGTATTGTATCTTTTTGTGCAGTTTATTTTGTAAAGTAGGGTTTGTCTAGTGTGGAGAATCTGACCCACCTCATTGAAAAAAGAGTGTCATACAGAGACCTCACCCTCGATGTCTGCTGAGGTAGACGATAGGAACCGTAAATTATGCGTTGTTGACTTTAGGTGAGCTTGGGGGAGAGAAGGACAGAGAGAAAAAGGGAGAAAAAGAGGGAGAGGGGAGGCAGAGAGAAATACAGAGAGGAAGCTGGAGTACGAGAGATAGAGAGGTAAGAGAGGGACAGAGCTAGGACGCAGGAGACCAAGAAATAGGCATGGTCGAGAAGGAGAGAGGGTAGAGAGAGAGAGAGAGAGAGAGAGAGAGAGAGAGAGAGAGAGAGAGAGAGA